TGTCTTCCCTGATCTGGCAATGTTTATGTCAGGGCCTTCCTAAGTCGGGGTCATGACCCTGGGTGGGGTTGCCAGCTGATATGTAGCAGTTGCGAGGCCTGAGGCAACAATGGCAGGCTTATGGCTTTGTCTCCCCCTTGGCACCACCTCACATTTTGTCACAGATCTTCCCTCTGCCTGCCCTCATCGGTCTTCCTTACTCCCGTCCCCCTCTCTGTCAGTTCTCACAGAGAGACAGAGAGGTCACAACAATTTTCAAGCCTCAAAATGGCATCGCAGTGGGAGAACACTTGAGTAAGCATTAGCTTCTGTCACCTCCCGTAACATAGGTGTGAATATTGCAAAAAAATTCAACAGTCGTTTAACTGCAACAAACTGTGTATTATACACAGCTAGCTCGCACAAACAGCAACATGTTAATAATCTGAATTTAGTAAAGGGTTAAATATTGGGCAGGTTATCAGAGATAACTCCACGACCATTGTTGGGAATTTGATTTAACTTTTCATCCAAAGATCTGAGACTGTAAGCCTGGATTACATGTATTGGGAAGTTTATTAGGTGGCATTGTGGGTCACAGCACCAGGGACCCGCGTTTGATTCCACCCTCGGGCAACTGTCTGTGTGGAGTTTGCACATTCTCTCTGCATGGGTTTCCTCCAGGCACTCCATTTCCCTCTCACAGTCCAAAGATGTGCAGGTTAGGGTGGATTGGCTGTGCTAAATTACGTATAGTATCCAGGGATGTGTGGGCTGGGTGGGTTAGCCATGGGAAATACAGGGTTACAGGGATAGGATAAGGGGGTGGGTCTGAGTGAGATGCTCTTCGGAGGATTGGTGTGGACTTGATGGGCTGAATGGCCTTCTTCCACACAGTAGGGATTCTATGATTTACAGTCAGTGGACAAGATAACTTGCATCCCATTACTAAGCTGGATGTAAAATGAAGTCCCAAAGCTGGATAATTTAAAATAAATTGTGACTATTATTTGTTGCTGGAAGAATGTACATTGTAATTGTAACACAAGGAATCCATATTGAGACATTGTAAATGCACTTCTGAAAAGAATGGGAACAGTAGCATCGTGGTTATGTCGCAGGGCTAATAATCCAATGATTTGAAGAAGATGAGTTTGATCTCCCACCACAGCAGCTGTGAAATCTAAGTTCAGTTAATTGAATAAATCTGCGATAAAAAGCCTAGCATCAGTAACCACGTCACTACTGGATTGTTGTTAAAATAAATCTGCTTCACTGATGTCTGTTACGGAAGGAATTCTGTCCTCCTTATCCAGTAGATTCTAAAGAAGTACGAGGAGAAATTAGGAATATAGTGGCTGAATGGCCTATTCTTACTCCTGGTGTCTATATGTAACTACAAACCTACATAGCTATATCTTACCAAAAAAACCCAGAAAATGTTTGGGAAAACTCAGCAGGTCTGGCAGCATTTGTGGAGAGAGAAAGCAGAGTTAATGTTTAGGGTCCAGTGACCCTTCCTCAGAACTGATGGTAGCTAGGAAAAGGTTGGCACATATGCTAAAATGAAGGGAAGGGGGGAGGAGTAAACAATAGGTGGAGATGGAGCCCAGAGAGAAAGGAGCACTGTTGGACAGACATAGGAATGGGTTAAATTTAGCCTGGGGGAATGAATAGCTGCTAATGGGGACCATTAGTGGCTGACAATGGGTTGCGTGTGATAGCTGCCCATGTGATGACAAGGCCTGGTGAGTGGGGCTTGGGATAAGGACACGGGAGAGGGTGCGCAGGTCCTAAAATTGTTGAGCTTGATATTGAAGGCTGCAGAGTTCCCAAGCAGAAAACAAGGTGTTGTCCTTCCAGCTTGTGTTGGTCCTTGCCGGAGCAAGCCCGAGACAGAGATGTTGGCCAGGGAACACGGTGATATGCTGAAGTGGCAGGGAACTGGAAGCTCAGGGTAATTTCTGCACACAGAAATCTCTATTTGACTATTTCTTAACTGCCCTCTGAAAGTCTAACCTGCCACTTGTTGATTTTAGGGGTTTCATAACCACAGTCACCTAATATAGGAAGACAACCAATTGTTAGCAACTTTCTGATAGTTTATTGAGTTAGTTAGGAAGCAGCAGTTTAGATGAGGTACATTAGTTAATAGGATAAAGAAAGTGTACAACTGTGACAATTGGGGATGGCTCACTGATACCAGAGGGCACACAGTCTGTTGATGTGGAATGTTTCAGTCGTGTTAAAGTGGTACAAGCAGCATCGTGCTCTCTAGCCAAAGGGTACGGAAACTCTTCTCTGGGTCTTCTTCCTCCTCCTCTTCTGGTTCATTTTCCACCTGAAGAAGACAGCTCCCTGAGGACGGCCCACTGAGAACTCCCTTCTGCTGCCAGCACTTATTGCTGTATCATATTCCTGGGGGCAGGGAATTTACCCTGTGCCAATCAATTGTCTGAACCCTTTTGGCCAATGACCATGGAAGAGGTCCTCATGATGTTTAGTGATCTTTGCCCTATTGCCCATGTCCATTTGAAGGTTAGGTTTTACTCCTTCTAAGCACAACATGTTCCTATTTTTGAAAACATTGCACAGATAATAGGGTACATTTGGCACCAGATAAACTGTTGGCACCAGTTCAATGCACATCATGACCTCTGTGTTTCTCGTAATATTTCCCTTCTGTTGTCCTATGCTAGAATTTTTGGAAGTTAATTTCTGCTGTAATACCTTTCAATGAAACCTCATGTTACACAGTGAATATCAGGAAAATTCAGTTTTTAAGGGAACTCAATATCCAACTTCATTGTATCAAATGGAGCAACATGAAAATGAATTTCATCAGAGACTGCAAGGTTCAAGACTGCTCACCACCTTGCAGAGAGCAGTAAGGGATGGATGGGTGGCACAGTGGTTAGCACTGCTGTCTCCTAGTTCCTGGGCCATGGGTTCCAATTCCAGGCTCAGGCGACTGTCTGTGTGGAGTTTGCATGTTCTCCCTGTGTCTGTGTGGGTTTACTCTGAGTGCTGTGGTTTACTCCCACATCTAAAGACATGCACATTAGGTGAATTGGCCATGGGAAATTGTCCCAGAGTGTAGGTTACATGTATCATCCATGGGATTTGTAGGGTCACTCTGGGTGGGATGCTCTTTGGAGGGTTGCTGTTGAGTCAATGGGCCAACTGGCCCTGCTTCCACATTGTTGGAATTCTATTAAATACTCACTTTGCCAGTGATGATTACATTTCACAAATGAATAAAAATAGCATCTGCTCATTTTTGCAGAAATTATAAAGTGCTCAAGCTGAGACACTACCAGCAAAATTGACACAAAGCTGCAGTCTCAGAGCAGTGGTTCCAAAATTATAATTGCAGCGTTCAGAAAGTTTGCAAATTACAAGCTCTTTTGCCCATCTATTTGCTGACAGACAATATAGGCAGACGTTGGGAATCTTTCAAAGACACGTGGATTCAGAACGGCATTTGGTGGAGAGAATCTGCTGTCCCCCATGATTATTTTCACTTAAAGTGTCAGTTTGAAAATTCATGTGCCTCTTTATGGAACCTGATCAAGGAAACGTGGAGAAACTGTGGTGGGGAGTCTAGGAAACCAGAGAGGACAGCTTTGAGATAATTGGCAGAAGAATTACAGCTGGATTCAAAGAGACATGTTTTTATAAAAAGCTTAGTAAGTGGTTGCAATGTGGAATGCGCAGTCTGGGGTGGTGGAGCTGGATACCTGGGAGCATTAGGTTTCGCAGCAAGAGGCCATTCAGCCCTTCAACCTCCTCCATCATTCAATAAGAAGGTTGTGGTCTCAACTCCAGTTTCCTGTCTCCTCCACCAGTAACACCAGGACTCCCAGTTTATCAAAAAGCTAACTCAGTTTTGCAAAAAACAAGGTGATTGACTGAACCTCCAGGGTTTTTGAGCTCTTGGGAGATCAGTGGTTAGCACTGCTGCCTCAGAGTGCTAGTTACCTAGGTTTGATTCCAGCCTCAGGCGACTGTCTGCGTGGAGTTTGCACATTCTCTGGGTCTGTGTGGGTGTTTTTTTCCAGATGCTCTGGTTTCCTCCCAGAATCCAAAGATGTGCAAGATCGGTGGGTTAGCCATGGAAAATGCTGAGTTACAGGGATAGGTGGGTGGGATACACTTTGGAGGGTTGGGCCAAATTGCCTGCTTCAACACTGTAGGGATTCTACGATAAGTAGGGTTACTGGAAAAAGGCAGGACAGTCAAGAGCCAACTTGGATATGATGAGTCATATGACATTCTTCCATTCTGTATCAAAACTACAATTCCACAATCGGTGATTTTTCCACTTGTAAGGTCGAGTAGCATGCGCTTGTACTCATTGGGCAATGAGAGATGACCTCATTGAAACATACCAGATTCTTAACAGTAGACGCAGAAAGGCTGTTTCCCCTTTTGGGAGAGTCTAGGATAATCTAAGGAGTCACCCATTTAACACAGGATGAGGAGGAATTTCTTCCCCCAAATGGTAGTGAATCTGTGGAATATTTTAACTGCAGAGGGCTTTCGAGGCTGGGTCATTAAGCATATTCAAGGTGGAGAGAAATAGATTTTTTTAAAATCAGTAATCAGTCGCTCCGACACTCCAGGGAAAAACACCCCCAGACTTTCCAGCCACTCCCTATAGCTCAAACCCTCCACTCCGGGCAACATCCTTTCTGCACACCCTCGAGTTTCACAATACCCTTCCAATAGAACGGGGTCTGGAATTGTACACAGTATCCTAAAAATGGCCTCACCACCATCCAGTACGACTGCAACACGACATCCCAACTCCTATACGCAATCTACATTTAGTGTTATGGCCAATGAAGGCAAGTGTGCCAAACGCCTTTGTCATCACTCTATTTACCTGCAACTCTACTTTCAAGGCATTAGATTGGAAATTCTTGTAACCCTATCTTCAAAATGCTCCCAGTGAGGCAGCGTCATCTTTGGGAGTCTCGGCAATGCAAAACCATTGGGAAAACACGACCGGGAACTTATTTTTTTACAAAAACAGGTTTATTATACACATTCCGACAGTGAAAGCACTTTCCTACTAACTTTAGAGACGTGTACAGTGCACGTTCTTGAGGAGGGGCTTTTGACAAAGAGCGTAACTGGACCTCGCACGTGATGTCATTAGGAAGCAGTTATAACATTGCAGCTTCTAATTACAGCACCTATGGATTAAATAACTCAACAGCGTCTGCGTTTCCTCTCTCTTTTTGGCAAGGAATCTTAAATTCAAATAATTTTTTTTAATAATGGTTTTAAAATGCTGCAGGAGGTCTTACAGCCCTGTCGAGGGTACTCATTCATTCAGTTGTCTATTTGATGAGAGCCTATGTACAGGACAGAGAACTAAATCTCAGAATTCCCAGAGGCAGGAGTCCAAGGAGACTCGGAGAAAACGATGGCTTTACTTCAGCTGTATTGCTTCTCAGACTTCACAAGCTGGCAGTACATCACCAACGATGAAATCAGCCCAAGTATCTGAAGAAAAAATAAAATAAACAAAGAAACATTCTCGGTTACAGCTAGAAACTGGGGATTTTCTTCCTGCTGCAGGCATTGCATGTGAGAAACCCGATTTCTGAATCTGCCTTTTTGCCCCAGGTGTGTTGCTACATTGGAATATTAATTATTAATAGGTACTGCATCTATTATTCTGTTAAGTTTTCCAATAGAGTTAAGTTATTCCAAATTCTTCTTTCTTTTGCTGTATTCTAACTATAGTGTTTGAATAAATTGTGTTTTTGCTTAACGTCATGTTTGACCAGTCGAATTGCAATTGGAACACAACACTTTATCTTTGCCTTTACAACAAGAAAAAGTCAGGGTCTAATCTACCATCCTACGATATTTTGTTTTACCAGGTTTCCTCCAGGTGCTCCGGTCTTCTCCCACAATCCAAAGATGTGCAGGCTAGGTGGATTCGCCATGCTAAATTTCCCATAGTGTCTGGGTGGGATACTCTAAGGGTTGGTGTGGACTTGTTGGGCCAAAAGGCCTGTTTCCATACTGTAGGGATCCTGTGATATATAAATCAGGTCAATCTTTCACCCCTGCCTTATTTTCAGGTTCTAAAGACAGGGGGCAGAGTCGGTTCTGGGACAGACATAAAGGTCATGAATGTGAGGAACTAAGGATTTCAAACAGCCTGTAGGTGGGATATTTCAATTCTGTTTTGGTTTCCACGCCACAGTTTTTGGGAAAAGACTTGAGAACTGCACAATAGAGACTTGCATTTCTGTAGCACCCCCAAAGTGTCAACAAAAGAACGTTCAAGAGTGTGGTCACTATAGAGTAAACATGGCTGCTAATTTGTGCAGAGCAGGCTCTCACAAGTAGCTATATGATAATGACTGCAAGGTAGGAGCATGGGAGAGAGAGAATGGTGGTTGGCGGTGAGATGACAGCATGGAGGTGTGGGGATCAAGAGATCGAGCCCTTGGAGGGAAAGCCCAGTGTGGAGTGGGTGCAGGCCCATGGCTAAAGAAGGACTATCATTTGGAACTTTTAACTTTATTTCTTATTCACTGCTTTGTACTGACAAGAACTTAAATGTTGAACTTTTAACTTATTTCTTTGATTTTCTACTCTTTACCAAAGATGGCACCATGAATGGCAACACTGTAAATTTTTCACCGTCTTCCTGTATCCCTGTACTTGAGTACATGTGACAATGAAACCTAAGTCTAATAGGTTAGTGTCCTGGCTAAAGGCCGTCATCATTATGGATGTTGCTGTTCTTCAAATTATGCCCTTGGACAGAGACTGTGATATTTGTCTTTTTAAACTTTGCTTCTTGATTTTCTGATCTATGCTTATACAGTGTATAGCTTGGGGCAGCACAGTGGCTCAGTAATTAGTACTGCTGCCTCACAGTGCCAAGGATCTGGGATGTGTAGGTTAAGGTGGATTAGCCATGGGAAATGCAGGGTTACAGGGATAGAGTAAGGGGGTGAGCCTGGGTGAGATGCTCTTCAGAGAGCTGGTGTGAGCCTGTTGGGCCAAATGGCCTGTTTCCACACTGTAGGATCCTATGATTGCGTGATAGCTGTAATGTAACTTTTTCTTCATTTCTCTGTTCTGTAACTAAGGATTGTACCTTTGTGCCTAAAATGGCGCTGTAAGTGGTGACTTATAAACTTTTCACCGTACTCGAAGAACAAAGAAAATTACAGCACAGGAACAAGCCCTTCGACCCTCCAAGCCTGCGCCAATCCAGATCCTCTATCTAAACCTGTCACCTATTTTCCAAGGATCTGTATCCCTCTGCTCCCTGCCCATTCATGTATCTGTCTAGATACATTTTAAATGACGCTATCGTGCCCGCCTCTACCACCTCCGCTGGCACCCACCACCCTCCCCGTAAAGAACTTTCCACGCATATCTCCCTTAAACTTTTCCCCTCTCACCTTGAAATCGTGACCCCTAGAAATTGAGTCCCCTCTCTCTGGGAAAAAGCTTCTTGCTATCCACCCTGTCTATACCTCTCATGGTTTTGTAGACCTCAATCAGGTTCCCCCTCAACCTCCGTCTTTCTAATGTAAATAATCCTAATCTACTCAACCTCTCTTCATAGCTAGCACCCTCCATACCAGGCAACATCCTGGTGAACCTCCTCTGCACCCTCTCCAGAGCATGTACTCGTTTGAGTACATGTGACAAAAAAGCTTATTCAGCTCAATTAATGCTGTGAGAACCTGACAGACTGGACATTGTTTGAAGATGTTCATCCAAAAGACAACTCGCTCGCTGTTACACTGGGAATGTCAACCTGCTCCAAATGCTCAACTCTCTGCAAGAGGACTTAAACCTAGGTCCTGTTGACTTGGAGATAACAACGCTACCACTGAACCAGGGCTGATACCTCAAAACAGACAATTGTGCAAGATTAGAACTTGAGAGAAATGAGAGGAGAAGACAGGGGAGCAACAAAAGAGACAGAGATAGGCAAACACTGGAGAACCGCAGCAGGTCTGGCAACATCTATGGAGAGGGAAACTGAGTGAATGCTTTGAGTCTGCAATGACACTTTTTTTTGTAATGTGTCAGAAGAATCACAAATGGAAGTGGGAAGAGACTGAACAAAGGGGGATAAAGGTAGAGATAAGATAGGAAGAAATAGCTTGGTGCTAGAAGATCACAGATTACGTATGACGGAGCACTTTTCAGACAGAAAATAACTCAAGGCTCTTTGGAAAGAAAATGAAAGAAAAAGTATGATGCTAAGCCATTTGGGACAGGAACTGAAAGCTGTGTTGTGAAAGATGGGATCTGTGCTAGGTTTAAAAGGAAAGGAGTGAGTGAAGCGTTTAGGGAAAAAGTTCTGGAAAGTCAGACTGTGACAATTTGAACAGAAGGGAGGGGTAGGACACACAAAAAGGCAAGGGCAGCAAGGTGGCTCAGAGGTTAGCACTGCTGCCTCACAGGTGCCAGGAACCCAGGTTTGATTCCACCCTCCAGTAATTGTCTGTGTGGTGTTTGCATGTTCTTTCCGTGTGTGTGGGTTTCCTCCGTGTGCTATGGTTTCTGCCCACAGTTTAAAGATGTCCAAGTTAGGTGAATTCACAGTGGGATTATGGGGCTGGATCCTGGTGGGATGCTCTCTGGAAGCGTCACAGTAGGAATTCCATGAATGAGCACAAGGATTGTTGGTGTATGGTCAAACATGTTGTTGTTTACATTTTCTAACCAACCTTTCAGAAATGTTATAACTCACCTCTGGAGCAGGTGGGACTTGAACCTAGGGATGCTACCACTACACCACAACATTCCAAACAATCAGAAGCAGATGAGTGTTAATTATTTTAAGCATATGAATAGGCAGTATGCTGGATGTGGAATGGGATGGTAAAACTGAGCAAGTCAATAAACATGTGTCTTGGTTTCTATCTCACAAACCAGCATTGGGACCTTTTAAGAAGCACATGGGAGAGAGGTTACCAGGTTAGAGAACGTAGCAGTGATAGAACAGGTAGACCGTAAGACTTTTGAAGACAAGGTTTCGGGTTTTAAATTCATTACATTGGAAAGCATCTTACAACAACAATTTGCATTTAAAAAGCATTTCTTAATATAATAAAGCAACCCAGAGTGTTGCATAGGGTCATGATCAAACAAATTTAGAAACCAACGAGATGAGGACAGAAGAGCTATGTTTTAGATAGCATCTTAAAGGAACAGAAAGGCCTAGGAGAGAGACAGAATTCTAGAGTCTGGGCAGCTGAAAGATGGCTGTCAATGATAGAATGATTAAAGCCAAAAGACGCTAAAATGGAAGGAATGCAGAGATCTCAGAGGGTTATTATCTGGAGAGAAACATTACTGCCCTCCATGTAGAGCAAGAATATTCTTCCTTAGATAAAAGGAGAGCAGAGCAGCACACAGTATTCCAGATGTGGCCTCACCACTGCCCAGTATAATTCTAGTAAGATGTCTTTCGTCTCCATTTTCCAATCCCTTTGTAATAAAGACTAACATACCATTTCCCCTCAATTGCTGGCTGTACTTACATGGCAACATGCTATGATTGGTGACACTAAGTCTGGTTGTGGATGAGAGAAGCATGCCCAAGGCAGGGTCCTCCCAATAGTTGAGGTAAAGTAAAAGGAACACACCTGTAGCACTGGGATGCAAAGCCCAAAGATGCAGACAGCCACAACGTTGTCCTTCAACCACTCGATGACCTTTTCATAGCAGGCCTGCCAGCACAAGGGAACAAATTAAACCCCAGCAGGAGCAAATCACAGCAGATGCTGGAGATCACAGCAGGTCAGCATCCATGGGAAGACAGCAAGCTAACGTTTCGACTTTTGTCTTCAGTCCAATTAAACCCTAGGATTGACATGCAGCTTTAAAGACTTTTCGGGTCAATCCACAACGCTGTACAGTGCTCAACTCAAAGGAGTTGCTACATATTTCCTCTGGTTGTATTTCCAATTACAAATGCGTTCCACCTCTAATTGAGAGGGATAAATAGGAGGAAGGCAGTTAGCTCTTTACCGCCAACTTCTCAAGGACAGATAGACATGGGCAATAAATGCTAGCCCAGCCAATGATGCCCATATCCATGTCTTTTTTTGTCCTTTATTCATTCATGGGATGAGGGCGTCACTGGCTAGGCAGCATTTATTGCCCATCAGTAATTGCTCAGATGGCAGTTAAAAGTCAACCACATTGCTGTGGGTCTGGAGTCATGTGTAGGGCAAAGCAGGTAAGGATGGCAGTTTCCCTCCCTAAAGGGCATTAGAGAACCAGGTGGGTTTTTTTCCAACAATTGACAATAGATTCACGGTCATCATTAGACCTTAATTCCAGATATTTTCATTGAATTCAAATTCCATCATCTGCCGTGACAGGATTCGAACTCAGGTCTCCAGAACATTATCTGGGTCTCTGGATTAACAGTCCAGCGATACTACCACTAGGCCATCACCTTCCTTTGTCTGTAAAAAAGAAATAATCATAACTTTTTTTCAATTTAATCCACACGGTGAGTCTCCACCACACACTCTCTCACCAGGAGTAGGCCATTCAGCCCCTCGAGCCTGCTCCACCATTCAATAGCTGATCTGACTGTAACCTCAAATCCTAATTCCTGTCTAACCCCAACAACCTTTCACCTCCACGCTTACCAAGAATCTATTCACCTCTACATTAAAGAAGATTCAAAGACTCTGCTCTCACCACCTTTTGTGGACAGTATTTCCAAGGACTCATAACCCTCGGAGAGGAAAAGGATTCTCCACAGCTGTGTTTTAAACGGATGATCCTTTATTTGTAAACAGTGACCTCCTGGTTCTGGGCTTCCCCCACAAGAGGAAACATTCTTTCCACATCTACCCGGTCAAGCCCCCTCAGAATTTTATATATTCCAATTGAGCTGCCTTTCTCTTCTAAATCCCATCAGATACAAACTCAGTCTGACTTTTTCCTTATAAGACAACTTGCCCATCCCAGGTATTAGGCAATAACACTCCCCTTTGGGATCTCTTTTTAATCAGATATCGACATCCGACTCGAGACTCACATCTTTCCACCAGGTGTTAGGATTAGTTGAACAGTTGTGGACCAGCTTGAAGCAGCAGGAAGCAGGCACTTTGGTTCCATTTAAGACGCTGAACCAGTCCTTGTAATGAACGACACCACAGCACCGGAACTGGACAGGCAAGGAAATACACAAAGATGGTCAGTTTCACTCTAGTCAATCTCTCTAGTCAGTAACAGCCGACAGGAATGGTATACCAGAGCACGTGACCTTACATCAGTCTGCACGATGTCCCAGCCATTGGTCAGCCCAGCGTTTCCTGATGTGTTGTAGAATTGGAGGCCGTTCTTGAGCTCTTCCTTTGCGTACTGGTTTATCTAGGATCAACGGACGATAAAGTGGGTTTATGCAGGTAAGCTATCGGTTCCAGTTGTCAGGATTAGAAATGCAAACCCCTTTAACAGTAAACCAGAGGTGACTGAGTAGAGATGAAACTCATTGACTTTGTACTTAAGAGCTAGTTGTTCCCTCCCTCTATCCCTCCCCTTTGGTCATTTGCTTTGTCGGGAAACACGGGTGATTTACTGGTGGTGGTTAATAGAGGAGTAAAAATAAAACACAGGTGATGTGGTGATGGGAAGCTAAAAACAGTTCAGTTGTGTGTAAGATCACTTAAAAAGAGCTGGGTGTGTCCCCAGGGCGTTGACTTCTGGACAGGGAAAAGGGTCCAGATGGGAAATGTGGAAACTGTTGTTTGTGCTCAATCATAGATTAACAATAAAACCCTTGCAAATCTCTGAAAGCCAATTCAACATATGATTATGGGTCTAGTACACACCGATATCAATAGCTGCTTGATCAGTGGGTGTGATAGGATGGTAACTGGTCAATTAGATACACGCTGATCAATGAGAGTCAATTCTGGACCCAAGCTGATTGACTGGAGTAACATTGTTTCTGGATTTCAGTGTCTCAAGTCCCATTGTTCGTGCGTCCACCCACTGTAAATTCTAATTTAATGTGCAAAATGTTTTATGTCCTCTGCAAGTGTAATCTTGTGATTTTGAAGGAAAAGAAAGAAATTTTATTTTCTGGAGTAGGAAGTGTGCACTGTACAGTCTGTCATTTGTTAAGATCACTATTTCCGAACTTTTTGAGGGAAGTATTCCTCAGTGAGCAGTGAGACTTTATGTATGTGACGTCGATGCTCATTAAGAATGGGGGAGGGGAGAGGGGTGGGCACTGATGTCAACAGTTGAGCAGTGAAAGGGAAAGCTGGCCCAGCACCCACACTTACAGTTTCCTGGTTACACAGGAACAAGATTCCGATGATCATTTCGAGGAGGAAGATGATCAGGAGGACCACGAAAAACTGCCAGGAAGAAGGAGGAGGAGGAGGTCATGAGAAGTTGACATTGGAAAGCAACTAAAATCAAAGACATGGAGTGCTGACCGCTCTCCCATCCGTCCCAAATTGGGAGCAGCAGATAGTAACAGAGTAGAATGTTCAGCACCTCTGCTCCCAGGTCCAAACTAGCACCAATCTGTTATTTACAACTGGGTGAGAATCAAGTTCCAATTCAGCCCAAAAGTCTCTGCCCTCCTTTGGACACTGTGTAGGTGTTTTTGTTTCTAAACAGTGTCTGTCAAGTAGGTACAGGAGGACAGCAGACTCATAAACTGCATAACAGGTGGTCAATGGGATCGTACCATGCCCTCCTCAGAGGGAAGGTGGGATCTCAGCTTCACATCTCATCCAATACACAGCACCTCCAACGGTACGCCTTTGGTACTGCATGCACTGCAACTGCCTGGGCTCTGTACTCAAGCCACCCCACAGCTGTAACATGCTGCGGTTGGTGGGGGTGGGGGGGGTTTGGGGGAGCTGAAAGAGGGGAGGGTCATACTTTCATTCCACCCCACCCCCAGTGGGTGGAAATCCTCGTCTGAGCCTAGCAACGAGCGATAGTTTCCACACTGTAGGGATTCTATGATTCTGACTCGCAGAAAGAAGACAGCATGGCATCTGGATCCCAGGGATCAGGTAGTGAGGAGTTGTATCCCCTTGCACATGGGGCACCCACACCAACCTCCCCCCCAACCCCCCACCAAAAAAAAGATGCACCCCAGCCCCAATCCTTCCAGTGCGTTTGACAAAGTAGTTTAAAAATGATGGCCTTCTGACTTCCACCTGCCCCAACTCTACCAGGCCAGGACTAGTGTCATATTCGAGTCAATTGGACTGGCGAGCTGGCATTAAGTATGCCTGCCCAGCTAGGGGGCATGGGTCACAGGCATTGGGTTACCCACCCATAGAATCCCTACAGATACAGACCATCCGGCCCATTGAGTCTGCACCGACCCTACAAACAGCATTCCACTGAGACCCAAGCGCACCCCACCATCCTATCCCTATAATCCTACATTTTCCATGGCTAACCCACCCAGCCTGCATATCCCTGGACAACTACGGGCAGCTTAGCACAGCCAGACCACTTCACTTACACATCTTCGGACTGTGGGAAGAAACCGGGGCACCCGGGCACGGGCAGAACGCGCAAGCTCCACAAATAGACAGTCAGTCGGCCCAGGGAGGGATCGAACCTGGGTCCCTGTGAAATTTGGTGCGGTTTGGTACTCACGCTCAGCAGGAGGCAGCGGTTTTCAATCACCGCTCCGAGACAGCCCAGGAAGCCCACGACCATGATGATGGAGCCCGCGGCGATGAAGAAATTGGCGGCGGTGAGAGAAGGAAAGGACGAGGAGAGGGTCACAAAGTTTCCCTGCGTCACCATGAGCCACACGCCAACTCCCAGCAACCCGCAGCCGCCCAGCTGGAACAGGAGACAACAAATTGCGTTTACATAGCATCCTTCACACGGCGGTGGGGGGGAGAGAAATCCCAAGGTGCCTCACAGTAGACTGTGTCACATAGACAGACAGGTGACTAAAGGCCATCAGGTTTTATGGGCATCTTAATTGGAACAGGGAGGTGTAAGTCCTTTAGAAAGTAAATTCCACAGGGTTCGGACAGAGGTGACTGAAGACACATCTGTCACAGGAGGGGAAACTGGACAAGGGTTCAGAAATTGAAGGAGGGGCTTTTGTGGTGAGGTGGTAGCATTCCTACCTCTGGCCCAGGAGGCCTGGGGGAAGGCAACGGCCTAGTGGTATTATCACTGGACTGTTAATCCAGAGACCCAGATAATGTTCTGGGGACCCGGGTTCGAATCCTGCCACGGCAGATGGTGGAATTTGAATTCAATAAAATATCTGGAATTAAGAATCTAATGATGACCATGAATCCATTGCTGATTTTCAGGAAAAACCCATCTGGTTCACTAATGCCCTTTAGGGAAGAAACTGCCATCCTTACCTGGTCTGGCCTACATGTGACTCCAGACCCACAGCAATGTGGTTGACTCTGAACTACCCTCTGGGCAACTAGGGATGAGCAATAAATGCAGCCTGGCCAGCGACACCCTCATCCCGTGAATGAATTAAGGAAAAAGAAAGTCCCACCTAGTCCAGAAGGATGTTATAACATGTCTGAATAGGTTGATTAGAAAGTATCTTCACTTTTGGAGGAGTACAGTAATCTCAGAGGGTCATAAGACTGAACAAACATAAATGAAGGAGTTTGAACTCAATGATGAGAATTGTAAAGTTTGGAGGCTGCTGGACCAGGAGCCTATTTAGTTCAGCAAAGGCCAAGGGTGAAGGGGACTTGGTGCGGGTTACAATGCAATGCAGCATAATGTTAGAATGCCGAGACCTCCCTCAATGATTCAGTTGGATAACTGTATTCCTGATGGTAGTGATCAGCCATACTGACCTGCAAAGACCATAATTTCAATGCTCAATCACCAACAATTAACTGCAACTAAATGCAACTCATGGGACACAGGGATTAGCTCTTGAAAAAACCCTAACCCAGTTGCATAACATTATCCTGAAGTATAGAGATGACCTTGGCATGTGTTGCATTTGACTGGTGCCACAGTTAAGAATAAGGTAGTCTTGCTACAATTGGAGAAGGCTGTAGCGATATCATGAGTGCACCCAATTTTGGTCTCCATGTCGAAGAAAGGATACATTTGCACTGAAGGTGGAACAGCGAAAGTTTATGAGATTGGTGCCAGGGTTGGAAAACTGTCTATGACAAGAGGCTGAGCAAAATTGAGTCAATATTCTCTGTAGACTGGAAGGAGATGGTGATCTAATAGAAACTTTCAAGATGCTGAAGGGACTTGAGAAGATAGATACTGAGAGGTTGTTTCCCCTGGATGGGGATCCAGGCACCCGAGAAAGAAGATGATCAAAGATGAGATGCGGAAAAATATCTTCACTCAAAAGTGTTATCCATTGAATTTCTACCCCATTGGGCTATGAATATTATACCATGACTGGTTAGCTCACTTGGCTGGATGACTGGTTAGTGATGCAGAGTAATTCCTTTGGCGTGGATTCAACTCGCACAGCATCTTAATTTACCATGAAGGACTCTCCTTCTCAACCTCACTCCCCTCATCTGAGGTGTGACAACCGTCAGGTTAAACCACCACCTGTTGTTTCTCTCTAAAATGAGAGAAACAGTCCTGTAGGACAATGGTGACTTTACTCCGACATTGAACATATTTGAGGGAGAGATCAATAGATTTGTTATCTCTCAGGGGAATCGAGGGATATGGGGAAGCAGGCAGGAAAGTGAAGCTGAGGCTGTCGATCAGCCGTGGTCATAATGACTGGCGAAGCAGGCCTGAGAAGGCTAATCCTGATTTTATTTCTCATGTTGAAATGGTGCAGTGTTCCCTCAGCCTGGCTTTTGGATTCAAGGTCTCCAGAGGGGTAAATTGAACCCCTGACTTTCTGGCTCAAATTTGCACTTCACAAATGACACATCTTTGGCTGTGAGGGGCTTTGGGACATCTCAAGGTTGTAATACAAAGGTTTAATTTTAGTAACTGTGGCACCGGTCAAATGCAACACATGCCAAGGTCATCTCCATACTTCAGAATTATGTTATGTCACTGGGTTAGGGTTTTTTCAAGAGCTAATCCCTAATCCCTGTGTCCCATGAGTTGCATTTGGTTGCTGTTAATTGTTGGGCATGGCTCCCATCTTCCCTTGGCAGTTTGGAACACAACAGAGTTAAAAGCCAAGGTTTATCACGCTTGGCACAAACTCTGTACACAGTTGCAATGAAGTAAAAGCCTATTATTGAGACCCAGTCCCCATCCACAACCCCACGCCCCCTCAGCAGTTGGGCTCATGAGGGAGACCTGGAGTGCTTTTGAACTGTTGAAGGAGGGGTCTCCTACCTTATTAAAGGGGTAGCATCAAGGGATTTACTACCCGATGTTTTATCTTGAAATTTAATCTTGCTGGCACTTCGTCAAGCCTGATATTTCGTGAATAACATACATTTTTAAATCATCTGTTTTTCAGTATTAGAAGAATTTTGGCTCTCCTCCTTTACTGGAGGCCAGTAGATAATCAGATTTTGCCGATTATATCGATGAGTTTGGACTTGTTTTCATTGCAGATGAAATGACATCTTTCTAGAGAGGTCATGATTTTCACGAAGAGAAATATCAGAGGGAAGGAGGAGATTCAGGCAGTGACTTTTTGGGTCTTTGCATTCACTAACATGTTCAGCCACAGAATGTGAATGACTCTGGCCAGGCCCATCCCTAACTGCCCAGAGGGCAATTAAGAGTCAACAGCATTGCTGAGAGTCTGGAGTCCCATGTAGGCCAGACCAGTGTAAAGACATTAAATGAACCAGATTTTTATTTTCAGACAATTGACAATGGTCATTCTTAGACTGTTAATTCCAGATCTTAAAAAAAACTGAATTCAAACTACACCATCTGAGGGATTCACTGGGCGGCACGGTGACTCAGTGGTTAGCACTGCTGCCTCACAGCACCAGGGGCCAGGGTTCAATTCCACCTTCAGGGGACTGTGTGTGGAGTTTGCACGTTCTCCCCGTGTCTGTGAGAGTTTCCTCCGGGTGCTTTGGTTTCCTCCCACAGTTCAAAGATGTGCGGGTTAGGGTGGATTGGCCGTGCCTAAATTGCCTGTAGTGTGCAGGCATGTGCAGGCTAGGTGGATTGGCCATGGAAAATGCAAGGTTACAGGGAAAGGGAGGGGTGGGTCTGGGTGGGATGTTCTTCAGAGGGTTGCTATGGAGTTGATGGGCTGAATGGTCTGCTTCCACAGTGTAGGGATCCTATGAGGATTCGAAGCTGGGTTTTCCCAGAATATCACGTGGCTCTTTGGATTAATGCTCCGGCAATGATGCCACTAGGCTAATGTCACCAGTTGAGCCGCAACACTGGACAGCCTTAGCCCTGAATGTGTCAGAACAGGGCAATGACAGTCCCATGTGAAGGCCGTGACTGTGACAGTGTGGAACGTCTCTAAGGGTCTTACTTGCAGCAAGGGGCCTCTTAATCCAGCATCCAAGGAGCCAGGTTCCAGAGTAACTCCTGTCTAGGCAATCTCACATGGAGACTAGCGCAGCAGGAATGGTTTACAAACACTTTATCTGTTTGGACAGAGCCTTCCTCCATGCCAATGCTGACCTCGCAATACTCCTGACTGAATACAAACTTACCAAACAAAAAAAAGACAGATAAGGGTTCACTCACCCAAAAGATGAGGTTGAAGATGAACAGCAGATATTTTGTACATTGCAGACAGCTTTGACCCATATTGAGCTGCTTGAGGCCTAAGAGAGAAGGGAAATGGAGGTGATACCATCTTTGGCAGAACAGGTCAGTGCGAATCATATACATTCTTCTCATTTTGTGGCCTCTGAATATGGATGATGCTGCCAAAGGTGCATTTATCTGGATTGTTCCTTAAAATAAAACCAGCACCGACTCAATGGGCCAAATGGCTTGTTCTTTGCTTTCCAGTTCGATGGCTCTACTGCCTGTCCTTGTTTGTCTGGCGAACAAAACACCCTGAAGCAGGATGAGATGTTAAACTGAACTTCTCTCATGGACACTTCTGAGGGGGGTTGGGGTGTTCTCTCTCATTGCGTAGCAAATATTTAATTACTCAACCAAGTTCACTAAAACTGAGACTATCTGGTCACCACCACATTCATGTTCCTGGGTGGCATGGTGGCCCAGTGGTCAGCATCACTGCTTCACAGCACTGAGGACCCGGGTTCGATTCCACCCAGTGTCTGTATGGGTTTCCTCCGGGTGCTCCGGTTTCCTCCCGCAGCCCAAAGTTGTGCAGGTTAGGTGGATCGGCCATGCTTAAAAAAAATAATTTGCCCTATAGCATCCAGCAATGTGCCATGGTAAAAATCCCATGAGGGGTTATGGGGTGGGACTTGGGCCTGGATTGTGTGCTCTTCAGTGGGTTGGTATAGACTTGGTGGGCAAAAAGGCCTCTTTCTGCACTGTTGGGATTCTACGATGCAAACCCGTATTGCAACTTGTGGCTGCACTTCAAAAATACTTAACTGGACGAAACGTTTGGAGCTGGTGAAAGGTGAAGTGATCAAATGCAAAAAAAAATTCCGATTCCCACTTTCCCACCTGTCCAAAGATGTGCAGGTTAGGGTGGATTGGCCATAGAGTGCAGGCATGGGAAATGCAGGGTTACAGGAAAAGGGTACGGGGCTGGGGGTCTGGTTGGCATGCTCTTTGGCGGGTCGGTCAGGATTCAATGGGCTGAATGGCCTGCTTCCACACTGTGGGGATTCTGTGATTCATGGTCAAAGCATTTGTA